CCTCTTGGCGTGTCTTGGGGGATTTTTGGGGCCCTCTTGACGTGTCTTGGGGCCTCCCTGGGCGGCCCGGGGCCAGCCCGGGGCGGTTTCGGTGCATTGGGGCCTGCGCCCTTCTGGCACGCACTGGGCCCTGCAATGTAGTAGAGATGACGTCGGGCTCCAGCTTCGCCTTACACATCTCGCTCAGCAGCGCCAGGGCCCGCTGCCACTGCTCGCCCTTCTCGCACGCGCTGATCCCAGCATTGAAGCTGATGGCGTTGGGCTCCAGCTTCGCCTCCCGCACCTCGCTCAGCAGCGCTAGGGCCCGCTGCCACTGCTCACCCTTCGAGCACGCGCTGATCCCAGCACTGTAGCTGATGACGTCGGGCTCCAGCTTCGCCTTACACATCTCGCTCAGCAGCGCTAGGGCCCGCTGCCACTGCTCACCCTTCGAGCACGCGCTGATCCCAGCACTGTAGCTGATGACTAGTGTGAACCCGTGGAAATCCACGGCCCGCAGGTCCAAGCGTTGGTCCCGAACTCGCACGTGTCGCCGAAGCCTCAAGTGACCCCCAGCAGGGCCCAGCACAGCCGCAGATGCCGCCCACGGGAGCCCAACGCGAGGTCCGAGACGGCCTCACACCCCCAAGATTGCCCCAAGCCGCCCCACGAGGCGCCCGACCCAAGAGGGCGATCGTAACCGATTAAGGCCGGGCGTGGACGTCTCAAAAAGCATCGGGTTTTCGCTAATCGCGCCCGGCCTCTCCGCGATTAGCGAAAATCCGAAGGTTCTGGCCATTCCACTGCGCGAGGATTGGCCCCCACACGTACCCCAAGGCCTTGGACACCGCCCAAGACGATCTGAGTCCCACCAGCTCTTTGGGCGTGAGTGGTTTAGGGAGCTCTCTCTGTTCTCAACCCCCCTTCTTCCCCTTCGGGGAGGGGTTCACCCCTCCCCCTCCCCCCTCCCCTGGACCTGGAGAGGGAGCCCCGCGGGTCGTCAGGGGGGTCTTTTTCGACTCCTGGGAGGGCTAAAAAACGACGACCCTCACGAGGATTCTGGCCCCGACGGGGGGAGGGAGATAGGCCCCTCTCCTCTTCTTTGAAGCCAAAATCATTGATTTTACTAAGGTTTTGGCTCCATTTTGGCCTCCTGAGGGGGCCGCGCTCATCTTCCTTCATAGCAAAATCATGGATTTTACGAAGGTTTTGGGCTCATTTTGTCCTTCTCAGGGGGCAGCGCTCCTTTGCGCTTCTGAGGAGGTCGCAAGAGGCCCCAAGATGGCCCCAAGAGTTACCCCTCCCCCTCCCCCCTCCCTGGGCCTGGAGAGGGCGCCCCGCGGGTCGTTGGGGGGGGTCTATTTCGACTCCTGGGGGGGCTAAAAAACGACACCCCTCACGAGGATTCTGGCCCCGACGGGGGGAGGCAGAAAAGTGCTCCCCTCTTCTTTGAAGCCAAAATCATTGATTTTACTACGGTTTTGGCCCCATTTTGGCCTTCTGAGGGGGCAGCGCTACTTAAAGCTCCCCTCTTCGTTCAAGCCAAAATCATTGATTTTACTGAGGTTTTGGCCCTATTTTGGCTTTCTGAGGGGGCAGCGCTAATTAAAGCTCCCCTCTTCTTTGATCGATTTCCTCCTAGATGGCCCCAAGAAGCGCCCAGGAGGCACCAAGAGGCCCCGAGATGGCCCCAAGAGGCCCCCAGGAGGCCCCCAAGAGGATCCCAAACGGCCCAAAGAGGCCCCCCCGAGGCACCCAAGACGCCGAAAAGCCCATCAGGACGACCCTCTACTCGCCTGGGCGTCGTTTCTGGACGGGCAGGAGGAGGGGCCCGAACGACTCACACCAGGACGAGGGGCCCGAACAACTCACACCACGAGAAGCCTGAACGACTCACACCAGGACGAAGAGCCCGAACGACTCACACCACGAAGAGCCCGAACGACTCACACCAGGAAGAAGGGCCCGAACGACTCACACCAGGACGAGAAACCCCAAACGACTCAAACCACGAGGAGCGCTTTCTCTCCCTCCTCCTCCGCCTCGTCCTTCCCCCGCTCCCACCACAAGGAGGATGTACAAGGAGGCGGGAGGAAGGAGGAACAAGGGAGATATGCGGGGGCAGGCGGAAACACGCCTGAAAAACACGACTGTCGGCATGCTTCGCTAGAGTTGCTGTTTTGAGATGGGCTGGTGGGGATACGCGAAGCGTGAAGA